ATTTGTGTCTAACAAAAAAAAAATTCAAGATAACAAAGAGTTTATGGTAACAAAATTAATAGATTTTTTCGTGAGTTTCATGGGTCAGTCTTGAGAATTAGTAACTCCATTTTTTAACCCTCCAATTCATTTGTTGAGTAAAATGTTTGGTCCATGAGATTTTTTAAAATTAGTAAAATATTACTAAAAAGTAATGATAGACCAAAACCCCTCGGGTGGTATTTTTTTGTATATCCGATATATGTATAAAATATAGGAAATATATAAATAAGAGAGTAGACAATAGACTTTGACGTGGAAACTAAATTGGCGAAAGTCACAAGCCTTTTTTACGGTACCATGCCAACGGAGGTGTTTTATTATATTTCGGGAGCATATTCGTACAACATATCGGCGTGACAACCATTGATGAAGCACGAAGCTCCACCAAGAAGGAGAGGAGAAAAGGAACAAATATAATACTCCCTCCGTCCGAAAATATTCTTCTCATTTTCCTTTTTGGTCCGTCCGGAAATAATCTTCCCATTTCCTTTTTTAGTATGTTTTTTAAGGCTAAATATCAACAATACCCTTCTATTTTATCACAAATCTACTTTTTTAATACTTTTTTAATAATAAAAGGAGATTTAAAAGTTTATAGTATGTGCATTTTTGAAAATTTTACATTTTTTTTACTATTCTTTAATAAGTGTGCCAAGTCAACACGGGAAGAACATTTTTCCGGACGGAGGGAGTATGTTGAAGGTGTCTCACCATTTGTGACTCTTATATAGCATCAAAGTAGGAGCCTAGGGTTAGGGTTCCATAATGGGCTTCTCGTGTGTACTGGCCCAGTATCTTAAATTAGGCCGAGGGGATATAATTCCATCAAGTAAAGTATCAATTCGTAAACACCACGGTTCCCATGACATTGAAAATCAATGTCATGGGATGACCCGAGATCCCTACGGTGCTCCTTCGAAAAATTAATTGTTCCTACCCCCTCTAACCCCCCCTCCCCCGGTAAACCCCCCCCCCCCCCAACTCGGCCTGACCCGAACCAACCCCTCCTCCTCCGTCAATTGCACCCCACAAGATGTAGTTGACTTTGGAGTCGAAATTTGACTTCAAAGTCAACTACATTTTGTGGGGTGCAATTGACGGGGGAGGAGGGGTTGGTTTGGGTCGGGCCGAGTTGGGGGGTTTACCGGGGGGTTAAAGGGGGGTATGAATAATCAGTTTTTCGAACGGAGCACCGTAGGAACCTCAAACGGAGCTCATGTCATAGGATGACATTAGGGGTTAATGTCACTAGAACCTTGTCCATTCGTAAAATATCAAATAAATTCATAAAAAGTACTAGGACAAAAAATTAATTCCTAAAAATCAAATAAATTTATTTTCTAAAAACAATAGTCACATTTGATATATTTCACAAAAAACTTATTTTTCTAAAAATTAAAAACAATCACATTTATTTTACAGCTCAGTTTTTTTTGAATTGTTACGTGAATTTATTTTCAAAAAGGATACAAAATAAATATAGTTACACTTTTTTACATAACATTTTTAAAATTTATCACGTGAAAATAGTCAAATGTATTTTGCACCCAAAAACATTGCTTAACGGCTTCAAGAAAACCCCTCCAAGATGTAATAAGGTGATTATTATGTTGGTAAAGAAACCAATCGCAAGTCGGATTCTCGAAGAGCAAACCGACTAGCCGTAAACGGAGGTCCTCGGTTGTCCGAAAGTAAACAAAGTAGGACTGCACTTTGTAAACCCAACGAGCAGGATCTTGGCCATTAAATTTAGGTGCCTCAAAACGTACTTTTGGCATACCTGACTTGTGGATTTCGTCATGGCCCGAAAATCCAGGCGGAACAAGGGGAGGCCAGCGACCTCCTGTTGGTGTGTTTCTCAAGATGCCACGGTTATGGGGAGTTGCAGGTAGTCGTGCGTCCAATATGGTGGCAAAGCCTTGAGCAACACTAGGGGTGTTCATCGGGTCAAACCCGGACCGGATCGGCCCGGACTGGGACCGAATAAGGGGCATTTGGTAAACCGAGGACCGAACCGATTAGGCTAAGGACCGGCCCAGGACCGGACCGAATAAATGTTATTTTTAATTTTTTTTAAATTTGATTTTATTTATTTAATTTAAATTATTCAATTGAATAAAAATATTACTACAACTAAAAGTATTCAATTGAATAAAAATATTACTCCCTCCGTCCTAAAATCATCTTCCCATTTGTGTTTACGGGGTTTGACTGACTTTATTTTCAATTCAATTTATTTAATTGAGGTGTAAAATTAAAAAATAAAATTTATATATTTAAAAATTACATCAAAAGTTCTACAAAACAGGATGTGACAAGATTATACTCCCTCCGTCCCTCAAAGATCTTCTCGTTTTGACTTTTTGTGATTTTTAAGGAAAGTTGAAAAAAGTGAAAGTTTACCAAAATACCCTTAATGAAAATGGGTGGGGTGTATTAAATAAGGTGAAAAAGGTGTAATAAATAAAGTAAGTGGGGATAGTTGTGGTATTTTAAATGTTAAAAAAGCTAATGAGAAGATCTATGTGGGACAAATAAAAAGAGCTAATGGGAAGATCTATGGGGGACGGAGGGAGTATTATTTTATCAAATAAGTAACGAAAATAGGTAAAGAAAATGATGACTGTGTGAATAGTAAATGAGAAGATAGTTTTATGACGGAGGGAGTACTACACTAAACAATGTCAAACACTGTTGTTTTGAATTCTTTTAAAAACTTTAAATAAAATATATATCTTCCATTCGTATTACATAAAATTTGTTCGTAATTTTACAATGTTTATTTTTGTGGATTAGAGTTTCATTATTGATAAAGTACAAATTTAAGTTATAGCATTGATACATAAATTTGAAATGCATTAGATCGCTAATATAAAGGTAATGTTTATTTTTTCACACTTTTCATATTAAGAATATTTAAAAATCATTAGAATTGGTATCTTATTTTGAATTGAAAATATATTTAAAAAATTATATTAACTAATAAAATCAAAACATTTAAAAAATTTTAAGTATTAAAGTTAAATTAATTTTAAGTATAATAAAAAACCTTAAAAAATACAATATTATAAAACTATATAGAAAAAAGATATTTTAAAAAATAAAATGTAACAGGTCCACCGGTCCGGACTAAAACCCGGTGGACCGGACCGGACCGGAACTCGAATAAGGAAAAAATGAGGACCGAAGACCGGATCGAATAAGGACCGGTCCGGTCTGGTTTTGGCCGGGTTTCGGGTCGGTCCAGGTCTGGACCGAATAATGCACACACCCCTAATCAACACGCTGCACTAAGGCGAGATGCTCCTGCCGATTTGTGCGAATCTCCAATGCTAAGTTTTAAATAGCGCTGAACAAATCGTCAGTAAAGGACGAGATGTTGTGTGTCATGGACGACGAAGGAATATCCTCCAACATGATGAGTGCAGAAAAACGAGAGCGGCAATAATACAAGAGGGAGAAGGGGAAGGGTTTTGGACGTACAGAGAGGGAGAGGGAGGCTACACGACATAAAGACAAGAGGGAGGAAAAGAGGAGAGAATTAGGGTTTAATTTTCCTTAATGAATAATATTATATGGGAACATCTCTTTATATAGAGTTAGAGAAAACCAACAAATTCTAATTAATCTACGTTATCTATCCTGACGGTTCAAGAAAAGCGACGAGGTAAAGAACCATAAAAAGACTCTCGAAGAAGTGTTATAATTCCACTCGCCTAGGAAAATCTAAAAATACTTCAATAATATGAGATAAAGTATTAAATTAAATAAAGTCTTTAAAACGGGCCGGTGGTTTAACTGTCCGCCCCGAACGTCTAAGATTGCTCTCCATTGTAATGTTATCGACCGGTTCGAGGACTCCTCTGTAGCAGATGCCGTATTAAATACACTGTGCTTCCGGGATATTTTTGCGGGTTGCTTTTAAGTCGCTCATTTCTTGAGAGCAGCGAAGACAAATATTTAGCCGCCATTTGTGCAGTGTACTTCTCGTTCTTTTTACAATCCTACCACCAACATGTCGTATTTAGTTCAATTTAACAATATCCAACTTGTTACTTAATGAATACTCACCTCGTGGTGCTGCTTTACATTAACTGCTAATTTACTCCTCATCATATGCGAAAAAGCCATGTCACCGCAGTATGAATATATCAGTTGTGGTGATATTTCGAATATCTTTTGATGGGTATCGTCAACTGAAATAAAAAAGTGTTTGTAAAACACTTAAACAAAATATAAGTAGAACACTTAAACAAAATGTTAGAAGAGCACTTAAACAAAATGTTAAACACTTAAACTACCAATGTACCTATACGACGCCTAGAAGGTAAAATGGTGGTTGCCCATGAGTCAAAACCTACTACTACCTCCGTCCCAGAGTATTTGTCCACTTTCATTTTTACACACTATCCAATACACTTCTTTAATCTATTTTATCTTGTAATTTGTATATTAAAAAATTATAGAGATTATATATTAATAATCTATATGTTAAGACAAATCAAACAAGATCACACATGACTATATTTAGGCTTACACATTGAGAGAATTTGATGAGTCAAAGTGCTTAGATGAACAGTTCCAAAAGTCAAAACTGGACGAATACTCCGGGACGGAGGGAGTATGATATTTTGTTCACCGTTTTCATCTTCAAAAATGAAAGCAACAACTGTTGTGCCATGCCAAAAGCTGGATTTTACTATATTGTCATTAAGGAGCTCCGCACAGCCATTACTTCCGAGGAGGTAAACTAATAAGAAAAAGAAGAAAGTATTCATCAGGGAAAAAGATGTGAGATATTAAAAAATGAACCGAAACTCGAAGCAAGATAGAAAGCAAACGGGCATGGAGAAAATACCATTGACGCGATCACCGCTTTCAATGAGTCTGTAGGGAAAAACCAAAATGTGTTATCATTAAAAGATCACATAGGTACCAACCAGAGCATAACAAATTACCTCTGAGCAAATCTTTGTTCTTGTTTTGATAAACGGTTCCATAATTCATCAGATCTTTGGATGTGAAGCACGTACTTCTCAATCTGCAATTGACATTCTATGTGTTGTGTGAGTAGAGCGAAGAAACACGATAAGTCAGAAAACTAGAACCAAGATATGTCATGCAAAGAGGCAAGTCAGGTTTAGGACAGTAAGATTAATGCTCCATCATTAGTGTGTATCGCAAGCTCTATCTAACTACACAAACTGATCTGGATTGAAAATATCAGTTGCTAAAGAAATTGCACAGAAAAATAGTTTAATTTATTAATGCTACCTTTTGGAGACGAGTTCTCAAATATGATCTCAATAGAAACATGGTTCTGTCCAGGTCCATCTGGTAAAGAGACACAGTGAGTGAATCAACACCATTTTTAGTGTAATCCTCCACAGTTTCCTCCTATATGATAAAAATAAAGAGACATCGTCAAACTGAGACACGCTGAAATCCTTTGGTGCTTACAAGTTACAAGCATCAATTCACAAACTCATCAATGAGAAACATTTGTTTTGCTGTTTGGCATACCCCTAGGATTTCCTGTGAGCATTTACGATAGATAGTGGAAGCAGCAATGAAAATCGCCAATACAATTGGAAGTTCTCCGCTATTAGTTGAGCTATTGAATTCATTTTTGTGTGCCCTTAAGAAAAACAATCTGTTGTTGGATCTTTGATGATATCAAGTAAAATAAAATATCTGGAAACTTTCCACAAAGTCCTACTAATGCGGAACTCAAGCCATTATCATACCACCCAAAAAAAATGAACTCCATGAATTGCATTTCATCCATTTGACTTTAATATGAGAGCACACCATGCCTAATATAGGGTTTGTCCACATATTAAGGTGCCACAAATGGCCCATTTGATCATTCAAAAGAAAAAAAGGTAACATTTGGTATTATTAATAGCTAAAAACAAAACAAGAACAGATGTTCAACCTTAACAGTTGAGAATGAAGAATTGTGTTCTTTTCAAAACATACGTGTTACTCCAATTTACAAAGTAGCAGCCAGCAACCAAGGTTGCAAATTTAGACAAATTGACATTTCAGAAAATCTACCTAGTAACATAAAATTCAAGTCATTTATTAAACCACCAGTGCAAGGTGAATGTCATAGATGGATGGATTTTCGCTCATTTATCTCTAATGTGATTATGTGAAAGCACACCACAACCTAATATAGGTTTACATCTACTTAATAAGAAGTTGCTAATGGCCTCTCAATGAGTCAATATTTAAACTATCCAGATCGTACAACACCAACAACCATGCCTTAATCCAAATCAATGGGTTTCGCCACGTGAGCTAGTAGATGATATCTTAGAAAGATAAATATATAAATACTATTCAACATTAACTATTGATGAAGAAGATATGTGATCTTTCCAAAAAAATGTTGAGTAAACTCTATTTATAAAATAGCCTTCAAAGTTGCAAATTTAGAGACAAAGTCACATTTTTATCCCACTTTCAGACAAGACGAGTGGCAGCATTGACTCAGGCAGCTAAATCCAGAGTAATCAATTGTGGTGCCCCCAGCTTGCCTTCCACATTGTTGTGCCACTGCTGTCCATTTCAACAAGGTTCACGAGAAGAAAACAAGAAACATATAAGGGTATTTTTATTTCTTTCCAAATCCCGCCTCTATTCATCACAAGTTCCTTGCTATTTCAACAGGGGCTATATTATAAATAACACTCAAACAAGTGGGCCAACAAATTTATATATGAATATGATCTCATTACTCCTGTTAGCAGAATGATGAATTTTATAGATTATTAAAATTCTTATATGCATCTTTGGATGGAGGATGTATGTGCTCAATCAGTTGAGTGCCTCTAATCGATACTGTCATTAAAGGACCAGAACAAGTATACTGTCCTGATTGTCATTACAGCAGCAAAAATAGAGGCATATGAATTACTCAAGTAAAAGTGCACTAAGCCTATTGTCTTATAAAATACAGGACATATCTCCAGCTGAAAACAGTAAAATGCACTGCATTTTTGAAGTTTCTCAGAATGCTTCAAGAAGATTCACTATTATGCATCCCTTGAACATCTAAAATTTGTCTGTGCATCAAGAACTTTGCTTTTCAATGTATTATCAGGCTAAATTTCAAAAATAAAATAAAATGATTGCAAGAGCTATTGATTAACGTAATGGTCTTTGAAAAATGACTCGTTTTGAAGAAGCTTTTTTATTAACAATGTTATAATCACCCCTTCCCCTCCCTTGAAGAAGTAACACCCTACAAGAGGTGATGTACAAGTTGCACTGTGGCAGATATAGGTCTATAGTTTAGCTTGGTATATGAACACACCGAATTATAATGTAATAAGTGATAACAGACTGAAGACTTGTGGATGATGCATTGGATGCATGTGTTGTTGGCAGCTGGGCTGTTACTCTGGTCACTAGACACCTTGCAAACTTTCTGCTCGGCGAACATATCTATAAGTCCCCTAAATGGATAAACATAACTACTCCCAACCGGTCCTTATCGTGAGGATTAAATGGTTCTTTTTACAAAGCAGTGTTTCTATCTGTGAAGCATCTAATGTTTTTTTTATATTGTGTCCCCTGACTAGATACTGTGTCCGTGATTATTTTTAAAAGATAAGATAAGATATCACTTATACGGCATAACAAATGGCCTTAAACTAGAATATCATGAGCCATGACAACTTTTATCAACCACCCCCCACCCCCGGGTAAAAAAAACCAATACCACCATTGCTTTGCGTAATTTAGCTGACCAAGTGTACTTATTCTTTACTGCATTTTCATATACTGCTAAGAGATATTAATGTTGTTGGCAAGCTCTAATTTTCTTAATTACTCTAATTTTCTCAATTACTCTAATTTTCTCAATTACTCTTCGTAGGGTACTAGGGTTGCCATGGTAATTGGTATACATTGGTTGTATAAAGCATCTGTTTCACACAAACAAAATTGCAGTCCTGCACACTAGTACTTCAATTAATGCTATGAAATTATCAATCAAAGCCTCCATACTTCAACTGGGTAACCATATATGCTTAGAAATATGTCCAAATAACTAGCATAAAAAATCGAACATGGAATCAGAATCAAATTAGTGCTAAATACAATTCTGCATAAAACTTCAGAGAAAACGAAATCAAATGGAAATCGGGGGAAAATCACAAAGAGAAGAAGAAGAAGTGGCGTACCATCAATTGGATCTGTTCGCGAGATCTTTGGACAACAGCAGCCTCATACCGGAGGATTTCGGGAGCACCCTTTTCGTTCCTGAGATTCAGCCAAGAGTTTAGCGCCCGCCAGATCCTGAGATTCAGTTGGTTACGTTGCGCCGGGGCCAAATGATTTTGGGCACACAAACACTATAGCGGGCCGTGAAAGAAGTCATTCATTTGAAAATTAAAAAATCACAATATTCATTAAGCTGTTGGAGGTCATATTTTGATGAAAAATGCTAAGGATACACCAAATGTGTACCCCATATGTCCCCCACTCCCTCTTTGTCCACAAAAAAAAGCAAGAAAATTAAAAAAAAATAAGTAAATAAAAATCAAATAAAAATGTATGGTGGAGAAGGGAGTGGTGTACATTTAGGGTATACTTTTGGTGAACCCCTAGCATTGCTCTATTTTGATTACTCCGTATATCTTTACCCGTGCACAATAACTGTTTTTACTATTGTAGATGGTCATGCTTGTTCTATTTGGACGTAGACCTTGTTTAGAAATAACATTTTTGATTAGTGATACTCCATCCGTCCCATTTTAAATTGTCTGTTTGCCTTTTTTCTCCGTCCCAAAATAAGTTGTCTGTTAGTTGTTTTCGTAAACTTTTAAAAATAAAATACCTAAACTACCCCTAAAATAAGTCACTCTTCTTCACCTTATCTTTTCATTCATCATTACCCCTTCTAAAAAGTAATGGAAATTTCGGAAAATCAACTACTCCCTCCATCCGGAAATATTCTTCCCATTTTCCTTTTTGGTCCGTCCCGAAATAATCTTCCCATTTCCTTTTTTAGTATGCTTTTTAAGGCTAAATATCAATAATACCCTTCTATTTTATCACAAATCTACTTTTTAAATACTTTTTTAATAATAAAAGGAGATTTAAAAGTTTATAGTATGTGCATTTTTGAAAATTTTGTATTTTTTTTACTATTCCTTAATAAGCGTGCCAAGTCAACATGAGAAGAATATTTTCGGACGGAGGGAGTATATTTTTTATTTTTCTTAGATATGCTCAAAAATCAAAACAAGCGATTTAAATTGGGACGGAGGGAGTAGTATTTTGCATAAAATTTTAGCGATGCAGATTATTTTGAAAATGCTAACTTATAACGCTGCTGCCAAATGAGACTTTAATAAATATAAATGTGAGATTACTAGCATTATATTTTTTGTCAAAAAAAACTCAATTCAATAAAATAATCACATTGGATTTCTAAATCACGCGTCCATCTCATTATCTTTGAGACTTTTAAGAATACTATTGAGACATTAAAAAAATTGCTTAGAATTTGTTTAGAGAGGTAAAATTTTACTTATCGTTCTTTACTAAAAGAGAAAATAAATTAAGTGCATAGCATTTTTTGAACATATATAAAAAAGATATAAAAAAATTATGGGAAAAAAAAATAGTTCCATCACAATTACAATTTTTCTAGTTTAATATTTATATGATTTAAAATAACTTTTATAACATCATAAATAAAAGGAAAAACCATAACATCGTTAAAGGAAATGCACAATTTAATTTGAGACAAAAAAAATAATAAAAAAATGGTTAAAGGTTCACCTTCGAAGTCAAGCAATTGGACTGGACGTCTAAGCTTTGGGCGGATTGAACCCATCACAAAGGGCTCTTCGGTTTTCAATCTCATTACCACACAATTTAGTGTGCTATATTGGGTTTCAAGCCCAGTTTATTTTCGACTCCAAAAATTTCAAAAGATTTGCCATTTTCCCTCGAACGGAATTCAAACCTTCCGCCAACACGAAGCTGAGAGAGAGAGAGATGAAGGATAGCAACCATCTGCAAACTCCACAGAAGGACCCCTCTGGTTCCGCCAATCGCAGATCGAAATCCATTCCCGATCAATCCAAAAAGCATCCGAAAGTGCGTTCGTTTCCTGGATCTGATCGGCATTTTTCCAAGCACATTCATGTAGGCATCGTGCTTGTGTTCGTAAACTCACCACTGATCTTCTCCGTGTTTTGCAGAATGCGAAGAAGAGCTTGAAATCCGAGTTCGACACGCTCCTGGAAGGTGCTGCCTTGTCTGAATCGCCAAAGGAATCTGCTGATTTCTCTCTTATTTCCGAAGTTGTTGATGACTTTCAATTTAGTGAATCCACTGAGGTAATTTCAAAATTCAATCCTCAATTCCATGTTCAAATTCGTACATACTGCGCTTTATAGGGGCGTCTAGTAGTAATTTAGTATATTTGATTAAATCTGCTGGTAAATACGATCCTGCTGCTGTTTCTGCTGGTCTGTTATAGCTTATGCATATTTCCATTTCAATTTTGCTGCTTTGCTTTCTTCTCCCTAGTTTGAAGGCAGTGTGTGATTTTGTAGTGGTGTTTTATGATCCCTTTCAGTAACTGAACTAAGCTAATGCATATCTCAGTTGTTAGATCTCTGATATCAATTCACAATATATCTTTAGCAGGATTCTTGATATCCATGAGTTTTGCTTTAAACTAGCTATGTATACTTTTGAACTTTGATTGTTTAAAGAAATAATCCGAGGTTAACGATTGATGCTGTTCCAGACCTTTGTTTTTCCACTGCATTCAGAAGCTTCCACTCCATCAGAGAATAGCTTTCTCCATGACCTCACCTCAGTATCATCTGGGGTTTCTTCTGACATATACACAGCTAGCACTGCTTCTTCAACCTATCTGTGCCAGAGTGCTGAAGAAAAGACTCCCATGGAGGCAGAAATAGCAATCAAGCATCTAAGACAGGCACAATTTCAGTTCACGAAATCCGTTGACATTGGTCTGCAGTCCAAGAGACTTGTGGATGCTATGGTGGAGGTTGTAGTGCAAGAGGTCTGTGGTTCGACCCGAGAGAAGAATTGGTCTAACTCCTTTATTTTGAAGAAGATGTTCCTATTGGTGTCACTGATTTTCCCACTGGTCATCCTTGCTGTTCTCTTCACTTCACTTGACACTTCCAGTGCAACACAGCCCTTCCTTGGTCCTTTGCCAACCTGAATGGTCCACACATTACATGATCAAGGATTACCAGAGAAATGTAAGTAATGAGTACTATCTTTTCCCCCTTGCATGGAGTATTCAAGTGCTTCTGAATGGTGCTTGACTTTGAAATAATCTACAATAAATGGTCACTGATATTTTCTTTTTTCCATTTAACCTCTCTGCTATATTTACTCTTTGATGGTGATAAGACTGATAACCCATTGATATATAATCAGTTTGAAAAAAGAGTGATGCTATATGCCAATGTGAATGTGCCACACCTTTTCTTCCAACCTTGACTTCATCCCATTTTTCAGTCACACTATATGTATTCATTTGTGTGCATGAAAAATGGGTCATGGGCAAAGTTGGAGTAAGGGTTTTGGGGAAACTTAGCCATTGATTTCTCAAAGAAAATAAATATGACCAGATAATGGTGGATACAAGCTGGCTGAACTGGTGTTGCTAGACTTGAGTTATGCCACAAATTCGTGTCTTAACCTATTTTTAGGTCCATGTCAAATACACATATATGGCTACAATTGCTTTGGTATAACTTTGGATTAGGTTCAATAATTATTTTGGAAACCTTTCGACCTGTAATACACCCAAATGTAATCATGTAGTTTTGGCATATTCTATCCTTCGTGTCTAGCTAATATAATGTACAACATTCACTTTTCTTCTTGAATGACCAATCTCTTTAGGAGTTAATATTACTCCCTCCGTCCTAAAACCATCTTCCTACTTCCCTTTTTTTCCGTCCTAAAACTATCTTCCCACTTTCAAAAAAAAGGGTGTAAAGTGACTATTATACCCTTACATCATATACTTCCCAACGCCTCAACCATCCTCCGTCTCTCATCTCTCAATCTACCCTCTCTGTCTCTCTTCCCTCCCCCAAAAATCCTAGATCTAATTCTCCTCTTCACTCGCTAATAGTTGTAAAAATTGGTCAGCAGCGCCAGTTATGTTTTCGATGCTTCTTGTTGGCGGCTGTGCAGTGGGCAGTGGCTGCTTAAGGCGGAGGTCTTAAAAAACATTGGAGTAATAACTCGAGCAAATCTGGCTTCGCGCGGCGGCGATATATAGCAGCGCTAACTCAGGACTGTGTACTCTCTCCCCTGCTGCAGCTTCTTCAGATCTAGAAATGGAGCTCTCTTGAAGCTCATGCACAAACGACATTGCAAGATTCAATTTCTTTTCATCAATTCTCATTTGTTTGCACGACACTTTTGATTTTCAACTCCATATTTTATTTAAGATTTCTTTTTTCTTCTAGGATGTGATTTTATTTTTGTTGCAGTCCATTTCCGAAAAACTATAGCAAGAGTGTTTTTAGATTTGTGCATTGTTGGGTGAAGTGGAAGAGTTTAGGGGCATTTTGGGAAATTCAATGCATATTTTACACTCCCTTAAAAATGGCATATAGTCAACTTGGGAAGATGAAATTAGGACGGAGGGAGTAATTAATTGTGGAGTATAACTTAAATTTTACAAAATGTGCTTGTATTTTTACCTGCATAAATATGTCTATAAACCGACTAAATCTTAAGTCAATAGTAGAGTAGGACTCTCTTTTGCATGAAAGTATACCTATTTGATAACTCTAGTTCTTTGAGATTTAAAAAAAATGGATAAACTTCGACCAATAATTGTATGGAGAAATTTTAGAGGATGTGTTTATCTAATATTCACAGATCATACCTTATTATCTTTTTTACTAATTTTTGTCCCTCATTTAGCAATATAATATGGTTGTGTTACTGTTACCTCATGTTTGTATATGTTATTCTGTATATTTTAAAAAATATTTTTTTAATAGATTAAATAAAGAATAAATTCAACCTAGCTTCAAAGGTAAAGTGACATCCATTAGGATGAGGGAAGAGTGTTACATTGTTATTACGCTTACACCAACGTTTTGTTAACTTTTGCACCACACTTTATAAAACATACCATCACATGATATTTTGTTCTCATTTAACTATTATTTGTGCTACTGTCTCCTATTTAGAGAGCGCACATGGAACGCAAACTGAGAGAAAAAAAAAGTTTGGCAATGTGTGTGTGCATTAGTGGATGTAGTATGGGGTCACTTTAAGTCAAGTGATCCATATGCCTCTATTCAACGTGAAAGATAAACTCCACTTTTATTTTCTATTGCTCCAAACATGAAAACATTGACACTAGGTTGTTTCTTTTAGATTCATTAGCTATACATGTCTCAAACTTTGACTATTGATGTTAACATTTTCTTACCGTTAGTCTTTTACTTTTTTCTTAAAAATAGTATTTGTATTGTGTGCAAATGGAGATGATTCAATTTCTAATTTCATATCCTCTCTTTTTTACCCAAGAATAAAAAATTGACATATTTGATGTTCTATTAAAAAATATGAAAAAATGACTCTTTAAACAATTCATGTTTCTTTAATAGTAAAGTAACAATTTGATGTTCTCTATGTGTCATTTTACAACAATCCTTTTATATATATAAAGGAGACTCAGAGCTGTAAGAAGGCGACATTTGGCGGAGCTCTGGCACGACATTTGGCAAATCTGATGTGTCACCCTTTTGGACAAACTGGCCAGTCGAACCGGTTGGACCTTTTTTTTTTTGCAATTTTTTTCAAAAAGAATACCACCATGAGGTTTGAACCTAAGATCTCTTGGTAATTTAATTGAGTTCCTAACCATTCAAGCTAGAGTTCTTTTTGTGACAATTTCACTATTCACATAACATTTTATAATATTTCATAATTAAAAAAGGATTGTATAAAAATTTATTTTTAGTTATAAAAAATATAGTCCTTTAATATAATATTTGAGACTCCGTTTGCTAGAAAGTCGTCAAGTGTCAAGCTTATGTGGGCTATATTAAGGTGAGATGACAAACCTTTATTGGTTGCTTATGTGGCAAATTTTATTAATGATGAATTGACCTTTCTTTTAATTTTAAAATAGAAATTTAATAATGATTCACATTTTGGAAAAATTTTACGTAAAAAGTTTTAGGACAAATAAAGAATTCATTACTTCGTGACATTAATTGAGTATTTATATTTTTTATTTTTAAAAAGCAATTCATTTATTTATTTGTTATGCTGTGATAAAATTAATTATGTTATAAAATCAAAGTTGTGAAAGATAAATATAGTATTGTCCAAAATAAAATTATCAAAGGAAAACAATTATATAAAATATAATTTTATGATAAAACTTACTACTTTCGTCCCAGAGTATTTGTCCACTTTCATTTTTACACACCATCCAATACACTTCTAAAAACAAAAATTTCTTATTTTATAGGGTATAAAAACATATTTAAACCTATTTTTATTATATTATAAAATACAAATGATTAAAACAAAATATATCGTTAGGACTTATTATATTACACTAACATTATTTATGATTTTATTATCATTGAGTACATTTAATTTAGAAAGAGAGATATTTATTTTTCATTAGAATATTGTTTTATTTTTTTATTTTTTCATTTCATTTATAAAAATACTCTCAATGAATATATATATACTCGGAGGTGACTTTCGACAGATCCTTCCGGTTTTATCTAGAGCTTCAAAAGAGAAAATTATAGGTGCTACGGTCAATTCCTCACATTTGTGGTTGAACTGTAAAGTTTTTACGTTGACCAGGAATATGAGCCTACATTCATCCACATCTTCTTGCACAGATAGAGACGACACACAAACTTTTTCTGATTGGAGAATCAAAATGGGTGATGGAAAGCTAGGTCAGGTGATGGATGGGATTGGTGATGTTGAGATTCCGCTTGAATTCTTAATTCTTGATACAAGTTCTCCTATGAAAAATTATTCTTTTTTGAGTATAGAGCAATATTGGCACCAACTCTCGAAGTAGTTGAAATGATAAATGAATTTGTTCTGTCCCTCATTCCTGGTGATGAGAAAGAGTACTTGGGGTCTGATTCTTCGTGCCAAGCAGAAGGAGATGTAGGTGTTGATGGCGATTGGATAACAGTTGAGTTTTTGAACAAAATCAAATGTTCGGGATTTCCAAACCACAAAATAGTCTTGAAAAAAGGGGAACCGATTATGCTATTGAGGAACATTGACCAAACATCTGGATTGTGTGATGAGACAAGATTAATCGTTCAAGAGCTGCGAAATAATTTTACCGGTGCAATTGTGGTTTCAGAAAATCGAGTCGCGGAAAAAGTTTACATCCATAGAATGAATTTGGTACCATCTGATCATGTCTACCCTTGAAGTTTCAAAGAAGACAATTCTCGATCGCCTTATGTTTTGCTATGACTATCAACAAAAGTCAAGGTCAAACATTGTAATTTGTGGGATTAGTTTTAACTAAGTCAGTGTTCACACATGGTCAACTATATGTTGCTGTTTCACGAGTGAAGACGAAGACAAGATTAAAAATATTAATTCTAGATGACAATGGAAACCCTTGCAACCATACCAAAAATGTTATATACCCTAAACTCTTTCAGATAATTTGGTATTAAAATAAACATTGTTAACTCTACATTCTATTCTTAAAATATTATTTATTTTACTTTGGCTTTTTTCATTTGTAGTATTAAAAATCATGTGAGCAATATATTTTCTTTATTCCGAAAAACAATTTCATTTAAATAATTCAGAATCGACATAAATTTCTTTCGACCCCGTGCATGGCACGGGTCAGAATACTAGTTACTTTATCTTTTACACATAAAGGTCAAGTTGTGTGTATTGGACCTCTCTTCGGCCAGCAATAGGAAGGGGGCTTTTGGAGCATGAGGTTGGCGCGTACGGTAGCGAACCGGGAAGGATAATTGGCGCGTACGGTAGCGGACCAAGAGGGCTTTTTGGAACAAGAGGGACCAAGCGGACCAATATGCATCAAGTTTTGCCGGCGTAAGAGATTGAAGAATTCGGATAAATAACTCGAGACCGGTAGGGAGACGATCCATGAGTTCGTTGGAAGAAGGTGCCATGATGAAGCTGACGTAGAGGAGGCCGACGACGATCATCCGGAAGAGGCGGCGATGTGGGGAGAGAGAGAGAGGGGATCAAGAGATCCCTTAATTGAATTTTTTTCTTAGTATCAGCGATGGGGGGAGAGAGAGGGATCATGCTCTAATACCATGTTGAATATTGAATTATGGAT